TCTGGATGAATGGAGATGTTTTGAAACGAATCTACTTATCATGGTTAAGGGGTTTAAGGTTCCTATAGTTCTTACATGATGCAACATAATATTCTTATTCATTCTGAACTATGCTTTATTAATTACTATGCAGACGTTTAACTTAGGAATGGTAACTGATCAAGACAACGCAGCAGGTTCTATCCCCTCAGCTCTCTTAGTGGTAGGTACAACAAGACTATCCTAGTTGGTCACCAAAGACGGCAAGTATATATTCGCGATTGTAACGCCATCTGGGGAGAAGACGGGTTCAGTGTCTTGACCTTCCCTTTTCCCTCTCCTCCTCTTCTGAGTTGTATGCGAATGTACCGCTAGATTTTTCTCTTACATAACATTTGTTTTTATTTTTATTTAATTATCAAAAATATTTTGTAAAATTTCCGCACCTCTTTCTTTAAAAGCTATGTTAAATGCAGTTTAGAGTTTTATTCATTTTCCTAACTTAAAAGTTTTTAATCTATTTGAAAATCAAGACAGAATCTAATGTAGTTCTTTCTCCTTTGACTATTCCCACGCTAATGGTTAAAAGCCTGTAAAGTATTGTCAAAGATAGAGAGTTCTGCTCTGCGCCACCTGCAGCCCATTTCAATCGCCAATTATGAAATAATGAAAATAAATATAGAACAATACTTGAAAATAAAACGGCATTGATGTAAAAGATAGAATGCTTATTAACCGAAATAGTTGCAAAAAAAAAAAATAGTGTTTGAAATTATTTAAAAATTAATCAGAAAAACCACCAAGTTTGAAGAATGTGTTAACAAAATATTTTAGCATTAATTACAATTTTAATAAATAATAAAAGTGAACAATTAATACTAATTAACATTAAAAAAATCTTTTAATATTTATGTAACAAACGAATAATGAAATTATATTTAGTTAATTATCTGTAGTCTCAGTAGTTTACCACTAGTACATCTGCGGTAAGCTGCTGAGAGAGAATATTTATGGCTTTCACGTCACTGCAAGTGAAAGTTCATTTCGTAGGATGCGAACTAGGCTCAACCGCCTCAATATCAAAGAGAGAAAGGATGGAAAATTCGCTTTGCTATTCACAATTAAAGTTAAATAATATCGTTAAAACATTTATCGATCCCACCCATGATAAAAAATCATTATGTTTGTGAAAATCTCATTAAAAGTAAAGCTTTCTTTATAAAAAGTGTGCAAATAATAACTGAAATTAATATGATAATAATGTAATAAAACTTTTAGGCAGTTGATGCCTCAGGTAATATAAATTAGGACAAGAAATCCTGTTTAGGTTGAACAATAATATATATATATATATAGATGAATAAGGTGTAGTTATCCTTGAGAGTGAAATGAAAGTTAAATTTCAGATATACAGATATACGACATAAATTTCGGATATACTTTACAGATATACTATAATAGTTTCACAAAAATATTTCTAGTGTACTTCCGATTTTACTACAAGTTTGACAAAAATATTTGTACTGTATTTCTGATTCTAGAATGTTCACAATTGAGAGAAACTCTGAAATTGAGCGATAGCCTTATGTCGATGAAAAAGTAATAAAGAAAGATTAAAAAGCTTTCATTGCGAAAAGAGTGCGCTAATAAAATATAAAAGAAATATGATAATAATGTAACAAAACTTTTAAGCAGTTGATGTTATAAGTAATATAAATTAAAATAAGAGAGGGGGAACTATTGCGTAGATTTGTTGATTAAGGTGAAATGACCCCTGAATATGATACAATAGTTAATTTTTGGCATTTCTTTATAGAAATGCAGCATGAAAGTATTTTATATTTGTTGGTTACATACGATTTGGAAGTTATAAAACGTTTTTATCTTAAAACTGGAGGAGAAACAGGCATGCAAAAGTCTCCTCGAGAAAAGGTGAAAGAACGTTCATCCACTTATCGAGCTGAAGCTAAAATCAAATTATTTTTCAAATGCGGAAACGAATATCTATGAATTACAAATTATCATGTTTAGCAAATAGTTGTTTTTTTGGAAATTTGAAATTAAATGACTCAAAAATATTGTCCTCCTCGTTTGTTGTTGCTGTCATAGGCCATTAAGACAAGGGTTGCAATTGATCTTGTGTTCTAGTGGCGTCCACTATGGTCAAAAATTCAGCTTCTGCCACACCCATACGTCACACCAGTTTATAGTACGTACCCATTCATTCATCCACAGATTGTAATTTTGACCTGAATCAGAGAGCGATCAATTTCCAATTCAGTACTCCCAGAGGTATAATTTGCTATGGGAACATGGTGGATCTTGTGACCCAACAGATTTAACGTTCACCCGTCACTATTTACTACATGGGGAGTCTTCGGTAGACTGAATTCAAACACCCGTTCTCACGAACATGAATCCAGCTCCGTTCCAAACAAGCTATCCCGACTCCCGTCATCCTCTAATTATATATATTAGAGTCTGTATATATATTTTCCCTGTATATATATTTTCTATATATTAGAGTCTAATATATAGAAAAAATGGTTTTTTATTTGTTTGAATTTTTTACATTATTATAATTCTGAGTTATTATGATTCTTAAACTTGTGTGCATTAATAACAGAACTCTTGGTTTTTTTTTTTTTTTCTTCAGAAATCTAGATTTATATTTTTTTTAGAAATCTATGTTTCTAGATTTATATTTAACAATTTAATAATTTTTTACATTGATGTTAAGTATAAAATTAATGTAGGGGAGAGTCGGGTAGTCCCGCCCACTTAAGGAGTATTGCTGATATTTCTGTATAATATTGAGCAATTATTAATATTTTTGTATGTTTCCATTGTTTTATCATCTAATTAAATAATGCAAAAAGAATAAACCAAAAAAAAAAAAATAGTTTAACTTAAAAAAATGGAAATTTAAAGAAACATGTTTTTCAGCTCTTTTCAAAATGTGTCGGGTAGCCCCACCCAGTTACAAAAATTATGTTTTTTGACTATTTTTCCTGGTGTCAATAAAAATGACCAATGTATTGACAATAGACGAACCTCATTTATCATTTTTATCACAAAATTATTTTATTTATTACATATTTATATACTTTTAGTGAATTCTATCATTTAATAACAA